CAACAAAGCTGGTGAAGGGTCTGGGGCACAAGTCTTATAAGGAATGTCTGAGGGAACTGGGGTTGTTCAATCTGGAGGAAAGGAGGCTCAGAGGAGACCTTATTGCTCTCTACAACTACCTGAAGGGAGGATGGAGAGAGGTGGGTGTTGGTCCCTTCTCCCACATAACAAGTGATAGGACAAGAGGAAATGGCCTCAAGTTGTACCAGAAGAGGTTTAGATTGGATATTAGGAAGAATTTCTTCATGGAAAAGGTTGTCAAGCATTGGAACAGGCTGCTTAGGGAAGCAGTGGAGTTACCATCCCTAGGGGTGTTTGAAAGACATGTAGATGTGACACTTAGGGACATGGTTTAGTGGTGGACTTTGCAGTGTTAGGTTATCAGCTGGACTTGATATTAGAGGTCTTTCCCAACCTAAATGATCCTCTGATTCTCTATAAGCAGAAAGTGCAGTTTAAGATAAGAAATAATTTTCCTTCAGGAACAAAAAGCCACTGCTGGTTGATGCTGCCCTTGATCCTCAAACAAACAAACACCAACAAATTCATTCATCCAAGTTTATGACAAAATTATGAATTAATTTCACTAATAGCTGAAGAGTGGAATTTCTTGAGGTGTTCCCTCTCTTGACCTATGAAAAAGCCTCAACCATAGGAAATTACTCTCAGAAATCATAAGAAGGGACCCAAAGGGCAGTGCTGAGTGCTGATGTGCTTGAACCGCTCTTGTGGCACCATGCCATTCACCTTGAACATATCAGCCCTTAGCTACAGCACAATTCAACACATTAAAACTCCCCTATAAAGAAATACTGTGCAAAAAGTCTCTCAAAAATAATGGCCATACTGAACAGAAGAAGCTGTCCTGGAAAAACTCACCATCTGCATCACCGATACTTTGGAAATTCAAAAGGAGCATCCTCCGAAGTGAGACAATGAGGCGACATCTTTCTTGTCCCACTTTGCTCAGCCATAGCACCACCAATGTATCCTACAGAAAGCAAAGAAAAGGGAAAGATCAGGGGTAGAAATAACACCTTGCATGAGGACATTGCCATTAGTTACCACAGTTGCAATGCAAGATAAACTTCCTCTGACATATTTGAAGTCCTTTTACCTCTACTCAGTATAAAACGTTCAAATTGTTCCTACCTAGCAGGTTTGGTTAAAAGACATGCCTGAGTACACACGTGCACACACAACAAACAGAACAAAAAGCCAACTTTACAGCTTGATTTTTAACTTCCCATGCACGGAAGACAGATGCTCCTTGGGGCAGGATGAGATCCTGCACCCGCAGAGCTGGAGCTGCAGGGCTGATACATGTGCCAGGCGACAGGCAGCTGCATGACTGCGGTTTTCAGAACTTTACTGCCCTCTCCAAAAAAACAGTTCAATTGAAAGTGAAAAATAAACACTCCAAGTTCTGCCTGCAGCCAGAGGCAATCACTGTCTTTCTCATCTGTGCACTCCATCCATGCCTTCATCAATAGAGAAGTAATTTTCGGACTCAGCTCATTAACACCGAGCTGTTGATGGAGCTGTAAACACTCCACCCCGCTGTCCTTCTGAGCCTGTTACCAGCTATTCTTTTCTGTTTAGCTGACCTGCCATGGCATTTCAGATGAAAAATATTTGTTTTAAATTCACAGCAGTTGCTCAAGTCTCTGAAGAGGGCTGACACTGGTTCTGACATCCGAAAGCACTGCAGTGCCGAAAGAGAAGCAAACTTTTTTGGCTGGAGTTCTGCCGGGAGGGTGGGACGTGTGGTGGCTAGGGACACCACGAGACATAGGCAACACCATTTTTGGCTTCAAATTAGGCTTCCAGCATGTAGAACATACACACACATAACATAAACAGGCGTCAAGATAAGGAAATGACAAGGAGACAGAAGGAAAATGGGGTTAGCTAGCAGACGTCCTGGGGAAGAGAGGGCAATCTGTTTGACCCATCTGCAGGCAGTAGATACAAAATCCTACCAGACAGGCTGATTTGGGATTGTTTGATATCTCAATGGATAGTTTGGACTGCAGTGTCACTGGTGCAAGAAGGCAGCATGGGAGAAACAAGCCCTTTGTGGCTTATGCCAGGACCCAGCCTGATTTTGGCACCACTGCGAAAGGATGCTGTTGATGGCTGAGAGCACCCTGGTACAATTGCTGCTCCAACCAGTCCCATGGGCATTTGTTTCTGTCTCACAGTTCATCAGGACGTTTGGACTCAGGTGCCAGTGTGTGTCAGGCCATGGCTTTGTAGGCTTCACAGCTTCAGCTAGAGCCAAATGGGGCGAGTTAGACAGCACCCAGCCACAATGAGCCAAATTAATCCCCAGGGTTTACATTATTTCAGTAAAGAGAATTACTGGGGTGGACATGAAATTATGTCTCTGCTTTCATTGTTTCAGTGTTGTCAGTTCCTTCATTGCAAGGTTGGCAAAGTCACCTATTTTGGAGGTAGGGACAGTTACAGAGAGCAATGGTTCAAGAACTGCATTTCCCATTATTTTGAAGGCTCTGCCATGGGCACGGTATATATAAACCAGTATGGGATTCTCATGGTTTACAGGCATAAATATGTGGGTGATGAGGTGCAGCAGGTGACAGAGATAGGAAACGTTCCCAGAACATCATAAAATATCTGTGCTCCTGGTTTCAAAGGAGATGTGCTGCCTGGCCCAAAGGAAGATCGTGAACTGCACCCAAGGAGCCAGCCACCAAGTTTTCTGACAGTTTTACACAGTACACAAGAGGAAACTCTGCCCTGAGCAGGTAACGCTTGAAGTTTCAATTCTTTTTCCTCCTCTCAGCTTTGACTTGATTAAAATCAAACTGAGGTGACAGGGCCAAGGGATATTAACCTTCACCTTGCAGACATTGAGCAGATACCTGGCCCTGGCAATGCCTCCACCTGCAGCTGTGTGTATTAGACCCATCAAGCAAGCAAACAGCAGCAAGAGCCACACAGCCTCAGTGCTGTTGTGAAGCAGAAGTCTCCAAAATGGCTCAGGGATCCTGTGATTCATGGTGAACTGAATCTGCTCGCTTTAACGAAAATGGCCATCATCCACATTTTGTTTTCTTTATAAACATTTGCAGAGTATTAGTAGCCAATCTAAATGTCTCAGCAGATGAGTACATACTGTACTTCGGCTCTTTTTTTCTGGAGTGCTGGAGAAAACACATTAGCTGGAGCCAGCTGATGTGCTCTCCATGGGTCTCAAGGGCAAACTCCTTTGAATTAAGCATGATCTTCATGTCCCTTCCAAACTTGTTTTGTGCTCTTTTTTCTGCATCTTCAGGTCATCAAACCATTCCTGCCCCCCACCACACCTCAGGGACATCTCCTTTCCCAGCCAGCTCAGGAGGGTTCCTGACCATTAGACACAGCGCCACTCCCCAGGTGTCTAACAAAACCTCGTGGTGAAGTGTGACTTGGTCTAAGAAAGATCTGTGAATTATTCTCAGGAGAGCTACAGTCCATTTTGCTTTTCATTGTGATGTTTTCCTCTTTTAGATGAAGATCTAGAGAGGGCAGTGTGTGTATGGAGGTGGCAGAAGCTCTTCAGCACGTGGCTGCAGGCTGTGCAGGCAACGGGCTCAGCTGTAAGATGAGTCCTATGACAGCCTCATTATTGGAAGCTGAGCCTAATGAACCTGCTGTCAGATCATCTCTTGTCTCTTTTAAGTAAAGGTAAAGGATCTAAGAAAGCTCTTTCTTCCTCATTCTTTGGATAGAGACATTTAGATTGAGTGCCGCTGCTCTCCCTCACTACAAAGACTACAAAGATATTTTTATCTGAATTAGAAACTTTTGCTGGCCTACTTTCTTGCAAGCCCTTGTCCAGCCAGCTTGTCATCTCAGTCATCATTCAGTCACCCTCAAAACCAGACCAGATAGTTTCAGAGCAGTCTTGGCACCACTGTACCCAAGGGCTCCCACACACCACAATGAGTGGGAGCATGAGCCTTCAGATACCCATTTGAGAAGGTCCTCTGCTGACATGAAGAGACCACAGCAGAGCCCTGTCCCCTCACACCCCCCCACCCCGAGGCTTTGTCAACCTGACACATGGAGGTGAAGGCTCACTCCCCACTCCATAGGCATATGCCAGCCAAGGGCCTGCCACTTGTTTCTCTAGGCTAATGCAGCAAGAGCAGCCCAATTCATTTTGACAGAGTGGTTAAGTAAGTGGCACAGATTTCACATGTCAGCCTTCTCCTGCGTAATATTAGAGTTATCCCACAGTAAGTGACTGGCGAGAAGGTTCAGCATCATGTGGTGGCAGTAGTTAATATGCTTCAAAAAGCATGCGCAGCTATAACAAGTTTGGTTGTCTGGTTTACCCTGCCTGGATCCAAAGTCAAAGGACTTTATATACCTGCACAGCTGCAGAGACAGGCTAGAACAAGCAAGCTTGCCAAAGTGTGGTCTTCCACAAAGCCCCTAACATATTTGTGTACATAAATCCTTATATCTTGGCCTGGTTGGACGGGGCTTTGAGCAACATGGTCTAGTGAAAGGTGTTGCTGACTGTGGCAGGGGGTTGGAACTGGTTGAGCTTTAAGCTCCCTTCCAACACAAACCATTTTGTGAATCTATGATCTGCCAGTGGTAATTACTTTTCAGTTTTCTCTAGTAATGTAGCTTGTCGGGTTTTGGGGTGGGGTGGGACTCTTGGAAGGGGCAGCTGGTTTTGTTTGGGTTTTTTACTTAAACAAAAGGAAACCGCTCTTCCCTGTAGTAGCACTGCTTTCTGAAGTAGTTAAAAAGAAAGCTGTCAGAGGAGTTTCCTTAGTACTGAAGCTGGGGAAAGCATCAGGGCTTTAGTAACTAGGTAAGTATCTCGTATGTAGCTGGCTCCTCCTACTGTGGAATTTTCCAGGCCCCTGAGCGCACTGATAAGCCTTAATGGCTCTAATCAGCCTCACCTGGTGCCTCTAAGCACTTCCCACAGGTCTGGGAGCCCATTTAAGTTCACAAGGGGAAGTTGTTCCTTTCTGTGAGCTATGCTGGTTTTCATCTGAGCTATGGGCATACTGGTCTTGACCTACAGGCTGACTTCCAGCTTGACTTCATTGCAATTTTGCCTTAAGACCTAGGCTTTTGGTTGGACCTGGCCACCACCTGCAGGTCTGCCTGCTCCTCCTACTCAGGTACTACAGAGAGGGGCTCCCTCCACACTGTGGCCATGGTGTTTCTGTTGGCTCCCTGCCCCTTAGGGAACACCTTGCTGCTCCCTGATGATATCCAAGGGCTTGGTAGTCCATGTAGTCACATTCAGCTCCTGGAAGTGCTGAGATGTTCTTCCCCTCATTTTCATGAAGGGGAAGGAAAAGCATAGCTTTTTGTGGGTGTGCCACTGGATCTAGAGATGGGAGAGGGAAAGAACTGGAAGAAATGACTCATGGCAACTCCCTTACACCAGCAGTATTGGTGCAACTGCTTCTGGCTTCTGGGTAAAGTTAAACCCAGTGTTTCACGAGCACTAATTGCTGTGTTGCTTATAGTAAATGGCCTTGGGTACATAAATCAGTTTCAAATGTTATTTGTAAAATTGAAAGGTGAGGTTGCATGACAGAGTAGTAAAATGGTATTCATGTTTTGCTAATGTCTCAAAACTTCTGCAGGGGGAAATCGGATACCAGTGACAATAGCTCACATATAGCTGATGTAAAAGTAAGGTTTGCTGATGGTGATACAACTACTGTATTCATGCTACAGGAATGTATGCTGGGTTGTTTGTCTCAGCTGAAGCTGAGTTATTGCTTTATCGTGTTGTCATCAACAAGGTTACTCAAAGGAAAGAAGCTGTGAGTAACTTTTCACTCAGAGCTAGTTCCCACCACAAAGTGTGTGACACACTCTTTAGTGAGGAGCTAGTATGCTCACACCACCATGAGAAGCCACAGATTGCTATCTCTGCCCTGCTCTTGAAATCAGTACACCAGTCCAAAATTTTCATCAGTCAGCATTCTTGTATCCCTGGTGGGCTGTTAGAGACATCCCTTTTCTTTTACTGAGACACTGGCAGAGTACATGGAGAGGTACCACCATGATTGCCTTGTCCTTAACTCTTCTCCAGCCATCTCCTGCCAACTGCTGTTAGAGAGGGGGCACAAGGCTAGAGAAGTGGTCTGAGCTTGAATGGTGGCTTCTCTTATCAAATAGATATTTCATGTAGCTATCCATGCAGTCACAGTAAATCCACAAACCACAGCCCTGGCTCCCCTGGTCCCTCTATCATGCAGTCACTATGGCCCACCTTGAGAACAGATACTTTCAGATTGTGTGTGTTAGTTCTTACCTGTTCTTTCACTATCATTCAAGTTTTGTCTCTTCTTTACAAGAACAGGAAAATGCTACTCTTTTAAAGTTACTGAGAAGCCAGAGTACCTCTGGTGCTGCTAACGCAGCGTAGTAGAATGTCTTATTGCTGAGGCAAAAGATTACCCAAAGGATGTTCATTGTGACTGATATTATGAATAGAAAGCCTTAGGGACTGTTTGCATCCTCTGTAACAGACATATTTCCTCTGTTTCATTAGGTTTGGTGGTTTTGTGAGCATTTTTTGTGTAAAGTTGTATTTCTATCAATATTTCACATCTGATTTATTGGTAGGTACAGGAAAATATTCTGATTTCACTAAAAAGTGCCAAAAACTGCATCCAGTTTTTGGTTTCTGTGCATGTTTCTGGTTTTCCTCCTTGTTAAAGGATCTAAACAGAACTGTCAAGAAAGCTCTTGCTGATGTCACATGTTCCTGATCCGGAAAGTTCAGAGATTTCTCTAAAGTTTGTTGTTATCTTTCAGATCAGAACTTTTATACTACTCTACTCAAGTCAGTAAGTTTTTTCCTTAGCAAAAGAATATAGTCTTATTTTGGCAGATGCAAAAGCTTTCTCAGCCTTCAGGCTTTCCTATTGTAAAGTCCAATTTCATTAGGTAAATTAGAAGAACTAACAGAAAATAAGTATCACACTTTAAAGAAGTACAAAGCAGAACAAAAGAATAAATTATTACTGTGCTTAAGTTAATATTTAAGGAGCACAACTCAGGCAAGGCAAAGTCATAATCAACACCAAAGCAGAATCTCCCTAAACTTTTTAGTAAAGACATCAATAGAAACCCTGTGCTTTCGTTAGTTTTTCCTTTTCTGAAATGTTTGGGGGTTTTGTTGTGTTAATATTCGTTCCATGATGGTGTCTATGTGAGAATTGGAGATAAAATAAGACAGATGTACTGACCATGGTTACCAAGGGAGCAGTTTCCTTAGCAATGGCAAAGCAGTTGTCAAAGCAGTCAATGTTCCTTCTCTCTCTCACACACACGACTTGTTTTTACTAGTTTGCATAGCTTGGTTACACAAACAGCTAATCGTAAACACCTCTCCCAGATTTCTTGGAGCCTGCAAACAAGACCTAGGTGGGTCATTAGTCAGATGATCCCAACCTGGTTTCAGTTCAGAGTCTACCTGAACTACTTTTGTTTCATAATTTTTTCGTAAAACAATCACTGTCTAACTCAAGAGTCATCCAGATGGAAACATAACCAGGTACTGCACACCCAAATAAAAGATACGGGGGTGGGTGAGTAGTATAAAATTGCCACATGTTCAAAGAACCAGTCCTATCCTCTAAAGGGTAAAGATGGCAGCTAAAATAATCCCTATAAATAGGTCTTGTAACTGCCTACAGGAAATGGTTATTATCTGAGAATGGAAGTCTGATCCCGCCATCCTTGACAAGGCTGAAGAGGGGATTATGCTGCACTATGACACTTAATGCTCTCTATTGGTGCTTCTGGTGGTGGCTATATGTGTGCGAGGTCCCTAGGCCACATCTGGAATTGCCCAGCTGAAGCCATTACCCAGTGGGTGGCTGCCTCCGCCCTTGCTGCGTGCTGAGAGCTCAGAGTCCTCTCCATGTCCTTGCTCCAAAAGTGCATTCAGGCTCATAGGGACAGCAAGGAAGTGAGATGGGTTCATGCTGCTCTGTGGAAGGTATCAGCTCTAAAAGAATGGTAGATCTCAGAAAGTGCTTGGAAAACCCTGTTATCTGTAACTCCAGGCTCTGTGACCACCAAACTGTAAGTTATTCATCCTGAGCAGAATAACACCAAGAACATCAAGGCAGTGATGAAACTCTTCCTTATTCTGTATTTAAGTACTCAGATTTACTCAAACTGTAATTAAAAGTGTTGTGTCAATATTCCAATAATGCAGAGACAGGTCTTTTGCTATAGTAGTAATTACAAGAGGTACAGTCGTTTGCTCTGATGACTGGTGTTAGGAAACAAGCCTTGTTTTCCTGCCTCTATTTCCAGTCAAGGGCAAAGCTGTTTCATATCAAATATATTCCTATATGCAGATTATCCCAGGGAACCTCCAGTTGCAGGTTAGCAAAAGACACTTAGTCATGTGTTTTTGAAAAGCAATATTAATATAACATGGTACTATTGACTGGAGTGTCATGTATGAAAGAAATAATGACTGGATTGCTTTTGGATTAATTCTGAATTGGAAAATGCTGATTTGATGGCACTGCTATGATCTGTAATTTTACGTGTTGTTATTAGAAACGTTTGCTATCAAATGGTACCCAAGAGTTTTCTGATAATTCAGCTGCTCTGTATTCTCCAACTTGTGGCTAAAATTCATACATGCTCATTTCCTAACATATCCTTATTTACTGCCTGCAACAAGTATGCATCTTTTTGTTCAGGTTGACTGGAATTTAATTAGACACTGATGAAGAGAAGGAAAAGTGTAGCGTATGTGCACACAGAGGGGCTGATTGCTGCTTCTCCCTCTGCTCCACACAGCTCGGTGCCATGGGGTAGGTTACTAACTACATCTGTGCTCCTCCTAGGGGCATTCATTTCATAACTATAGTATTCATGATGCGCTACTTGAGGCAAAGTTAGGAGTCTTCCTAAGCTCTGTTTACAAATACTTTTAGGAATATGACTCCTTAGGAAGGCACAGAAAAAGCTGGAAGTGCAATATGAGGCAAAAGTGTTGCTGGCCTCTGTGTGACTTGTGTGCCCTTGCTCACAGCACCCAGACAGAGAGGGGGTGAGGAGCACAATGCCACCTACAAATGCTATAAGCAAAATCTGTCTCTCTGTCTCTCATCTGCCTTATTAGGAAAGCTGCGTAGAAAGAGAAAAAAAAAAAGCCATGGCACATTTCTTAGCAATTTTTTCTATTTCATGTTGAGGCAGTTTCAGTCTCAGAATCTCACGGCCCTTGAGTTCCATAAATCTGCACGATCCTTGTGAAAGCCACTATTTTTGCGTCAAGAAATTTGGGATCAAAGAGAAGGGAAAGGTAAAAGCTACATAAGATCAAATAATGCTGGAGTAACGGGACACTTCTTCCTTCAGAGGAAATCACACATGTGAAGGGGTGTGGAAGGTCTTATGTTCAGAATTTAAGTATACAGATTGTTTTAAAAAATAATGTTTGGAATGGAAGAGGGAAGGTGGAGCAGTGGCAGCCATCCATCTGGTGGAAGAAGGCAGCAACAGGGAGGGTACTCTGAGATTGCTTTCTGCAAAGAGGCAAGCTGGCAGTTTTAATTGTAGGAGGAACACACCCCGAGGTCAACCACAGCACTGAATCATGGCATGTATGGCTGTCCTTCCATCCCCTCCACAGCCTTTTTACCTCAAAAAACAAAGATAAGCTGATGAAAAGGTGGAGTCATTGAGTCACCTGGGAGTGTAGTTTTGCCCTGACAGCCACCCAGTTCCCATCTCCTAACTGCAGCTCTGTCAGTCCCTAATTCAGCAACCCCTTAACCACCCCACGGTGACCCCCAATTACTGAAGTGGCAGCTGTACAGTTCACTTGCCTCTGGTTGAGCTGATTTTTTACCATTATGGTCCCAACCACCTGCTGTGCATTTGATGTAACTTTTCAATTAACATTCTCCAAGGATTTGTAGCCTTTGGTGTGTGTTGCAGCCTCGGCCATTCCCACACCCATCACCCATGG